ACCGCGCCTTATTCGCAGTTGCGGCTCCAGGTTGGAAGAAACCGCGTGGTGGTCAACAGATGACGTGGAAGCGAGGCATGTAGAAATGCACAGGGCGATTAGGTAGAATCGGTGTCTCCCGTCTTCCAGGTTGGAGTCCGAAAGACTCTACAACCGGTTGGCCGGAGAAATTAAAGGATATGGCTACTAACCTACCACTAACTGAAAAATAGGGCAACAAACCGACAGCAGTGGCGTTCTTGTTGTCATTTCTTGACAAGGCAGAATGCTTGAAAAAAGGTATGCATGAACACTTAGATTGTGTGCTGTGTTAAAGATAGAGGTTCTTTTTCTTTGCCTCCCTCCAATTAGGCCCAATCCCTCTCCATCTTGTGTTTTATCATTTGATTTGTGTACATTGTGAGCTTGGCAGCGATCAGTGAAGCTCGCTTCACTGTATCTCGCTGTACGATGATGATGATGATGCTGTTCGGTGATGTATGATGATGATAATAATAACTGTAGATATCAGACATAAACGCTGTTGCACGGCGATGGACAAGTGGGAGAGTAAATGCTAGGACGGTAAAACGTTATACTCAACATGATCCAAAAGTTTCAGAAGAGAAGGAATCGTCCCAGAAGTAGGTGCAATGGTCCAGAGATCCTGGATTAATGGAAAGTTATGAAAAAATAAAACTTCGTACCGAGAGGAGTAGACAGACAATCCTAAATCTATTGTTTTTTCTTTAAACACTCTCAAACTCATTGCACCCTAATGTATCATCGGTAATTAAATATGACGGACAAGGAAAGAGTCCAACAACCGAAAGGAAGCGTCCTTTTTCGATGTTAATGTCCAGATTTGGCATTACATATTTCGAGGAAGCTCGCGCTCAATATAATACCTCAAATTGTGAGCCAATACGGATATTTGAATTGCTTCTTTCCACTGTGCATGAAAAGCTAACTAAGTAGTGCCACCTTCCCAAGCGATAACAGATCTGTCTATCATGCGAATTAGTCATAGAGTTCATTTTTATTATGCAATTATTACATCGTTCTTTTTGAGGCACATAATTTTTAAATCCTTGCGTCATTTCTTTGTTTTCAGTGTTATCTTTTGAACTAGTATGCTTATAAAAGAATACAGAATATGCCTACCATTGACCGTAGAGGAGTACCGGATCGCTCAGCTTTATATGATACAAGTGAGTTCGATGCAGCTTGGTGTATTTGTGCCTACTTTATTTGGAAAAAAACAGTGAAATAATTTTTTATTAAAGGACCTTATTTTACTGTCTGGGTTGTAAAGCTGCTTAGTAATAAATAATCCGAATTTGTGTAAGCTCTTTCAATTGAAGATACTGTTTTTAGTCGTCCATTTATGGGTGCGATTTATACGGATCTATTGGAACGCATACGGGATGTCCATTAGAGCACAGGCCCATTTAATTTCGCTGAAATGAAACAGTACTACCAAAATCAACAGAATAATCTACACCGTTTGTGATCTCTCGCGCTAAACCTTACCTGTTATTGAAGTAGAAAGGGAAACGACAAAGAATAAACAAGAGCCTCGTTTCACTTTTTGGCGTCTTGTGTCTGCAGGAATGATTCTCTTTTATCGATAATTCTATAAAAAAGTGTAAAGCTATTATAAGATATGTTAAAAGTAGCATATTCAGCACTACTCGTTCTTGTTCTTCAATGTTGGATCTCCGGCCCTTACATGGTTATGTGCTTTTTATTACACCTCAGTGTGATGAACAACATACGAGGTAAAACCCATAGTCACAATGACCTGCTGTTCATTGATGGAGACCGGTGACCTAAGCCCCCAATAGTTCAGAATGATATCGATGACCTTAGCTAGTGGTGCATCTGATTTGTACACGGATATTTGTAATTTTGTTTCAGATAAATTGCTTGTCGGCTAAAAACTCGCTACTTCATCAGAAGTCGACGTTAACTGTTCACGACTACCTATTCCATGAAGCAATGTACATGTATTCATGGTCAACCACCAACAATCATTCTCCTTTTTGTAATCTTGAGAAATGGCCTGCGGTGTATAAGTCTTCTGTCCATCGAATTGCAGCAGTTTGCGCACATTTAGGGTTTCATCCCTTTCTCAATGTTACTGCATTGAGAATGTCACCTCGATTGGTGATGAAACGTCTGCAATACATTTTCCAAGCTCGGCGAACAACTGAACATGAATATATATATATATATATATATATATATATCAGTTCAGACTCTGTGAAAACAAATTGTGGTACAATAATCTTTATAAAAAGAAAAATGTTCCATGATTGGCTTGTGGGCTGAGTACTGCCAAGTTGCCCAGGCCAAGGTAGGNCCACAACCGGAGCCTTCGGCCAACCAAAGTCTGACCCACAAGGCAGCGGGACAGTGTGAAAGCCGTAACCCCCTGGGAGCCGGTGTCCAGTTCATCGAATCATACGCCTTTTGAACGGGGTCAAACGTTCAAGGTGCCCAATACACCCTAATGCCCAATCGAGCCGGTGACCACTGCCACAACCGGGAATTTTAGGTGTGGTTCGTACGCCTCTTGGTTTGTTTGTAATCAGGGTTTTTGACCAACTCCCCTAGGTGAACTACCAGTGGTCCACCAACCCGGTTGTAGCCCCGGATATCGGCTTTTCGTCCTCTCACTTTGGTGGGAAAACAACTCCGCCACGAGAAGGCGGTGGGGAGGACTTCCTCAGCAGAGGCTATTTGAGACGCTTGGTCGTATGGGGGCATTTCGTGAGGTGCAAGGGCAGGGTGACCAGCCTCAACCCAAGACACCCACCCCCGACCATACTGAGGATTTCGGAGGCATGGCTTAGACAGATGTCCACAGTGTTTAGTTCTATTGTTTTCTATGACTGTTTTATCCAATACGCGGGTATATGTTCACCTCAGTACTGTTCCACTTTGCTGTTTATAACTGTTTCTTGGAGAAACACTTGAAAGAAAGCTAGAGTCGAGGCATTGTAACGCGACTCTCACTCGATAATAAGTGGCAATCCATTTATAGATGTTTACCTAACGTTCCGCAAAACGCTTTTTACACGACTCTTTCTACCAATTGCATTTCAACAACTTCCCCTTTCTCTCTCATAAAAAAACTTACGTTTGTAGAAGAAATCTCGCGAGGAGAGCACCGGTCGTGAGAGTGGCGTGGAAATTATCAAGAACGAACCATACGAAGATGGACCGGGAGGCAAAGGGCAATACACATTTAAAATCTATCACGTGGGTAGTCACCTTCCCGGTATGTTCAATTAATTATTTCCGTGTTATTTTTTTCAAATTATAAATTGTTCTTTTTGCTTTTTTGGTACCGACTCATCGTTCGACTGTTGTTTAATCGTCGACTAGGACCATCAATCTGGACTAAGTGGATGCTGTGCTCTGAAATGTAAAGTGGAACATTTCAAAAGCTCTAATAGCCTAAGCCACAGTGCTGAGATCTGTGCCAGGTATGCGAAAATCAGTTATGGGAGTTTCGTGTGTTGGACCGAAATCAGTGACTTTGAAGTGAAGTAGTCAATAAACTTCTGGATTATCACATTTTATGAGCATGCGTGGACTTAATCTCTTGCACGCATGCGACACTGTTGAAATGATACATGATGATCATGTAGTGACGGGAATAAGTGATATCAAATCTCAACTACCGGGTAATATTCTTAGGAATTAAATTAGTCACGTGAATATAATTCGACACATTTTTCATCTTATTCAAATTGGTTTTGCAAATTGAAAAGTTCTACAGGCTCCTGGATAGGATCGGCTGACTTGGTGAAGATAACAAAGTTTCGTGTGAGACGCCTTCCCCCACATTTTAGATGATGTACCTCTACCATTCACACAACCCAGTTCACTTTCTCAGGTTGTACAGCGATTACCCATGTACTTTCGTGCGGCCATTTTGGTTGCTGCCTTTTGTCTCCCTTTTTGGATGGCGCAGTAGGAGAAAGACAGGAAAGTTGAAGTAGAGCCGAAGAGAAAATGAAGAATTTCAGTTCACTAAGGTTGCCAAGAAATCGAGATGTACGAACGTCACTGTTTAGGACACAGCATATCACTCATTGTCTCTAACCATCGATAACAATGATCCCGAGGTCCCCATCCAGGGACCCTAATGCGACCTGTATGACCGAGTATCACGGTTAGGGTGTCCGGCGACTACTATGACGCTCGTTGATGGAACACTTTGGAGCAATTAAGCAAGATCCTTGTATAATTCATCCCACAATCGGTCGGTGTGTACGCTGATAAGATGAATAAGCACCAACGCTTCGTTCTCTAAATGTTAACCCGTGGTGAACCATCCACACGTACAGTGCACAGCGAGCTACTGACTGGAATCCACTCGAGGACTGAACGCTTAGCCTTGACACAGTACCATCCCGACACCAGCAACAAAGCTAGCTTCGGATTCCGAATAGCTGGATGCACGGAGGGTGAAGTGTGAGGATGAGGTCGGATATGGAGATCGCAAGGTGATGGTAGAAATAGGGTCTTGTATGCGTGTTTCGGAGACACAACATACGTCTAAGGTTGCTTGTTGACCGATCTGGTAGCGTCTGCGGACGTTAGACACGTCTAATTGGAAATGGGATTTTGGCTTTGAATATACTGTAACTTCTGGTTGTTTGGCCTTACTGGTAAAGCGCTGAGTGGAATCCGGTGGGTGGCTTAAACAGAAGGGATATGGGATTATTCCGGATAGACAGAAGGAACCAGATAAGTGGGAAACAAATTTTCCAAATGGGAGCCTAAAATTTAAGACCACAATATACTTCGTGGTAGCCCACATCGATGAAGGGGTTTTTCTTTGGGAACCCTCACCGGAGCCTTCGACTAAACCATCTGACCCACAAGGCAGTGGGGCGTAGATCCAACGCCGGAGCTTGACTAAAACACCCATATGTGACCTGTCATGCAACGCCTTCGGGTTTAGGTTCCATTTATTGTTTACTAGTGCGTTGGTTATCGGTCTGGTTTTCAGGATCGGCCCTTTGCCTCACGCACCCAATGAGACAAGCGGAACGTGGACGGGACAGAACCTTATTGTCAGGGGCTGCCAGCTTTGGCGGGCGGTAGCTGTCTAATGAAGCACGAAGACTGCTCCCACTGTCGAGAGGAAATCTCAGGTGTTCCGCTGCTACGTTCATACAGCGGGGTTTTTACACCTGTAAACTGCCTCTCACCCTGTTTGGTTGCTGCAGTGACCTCTCTAGGGGCGAGCATGGATAGTCAAAAGAAGCCAGGAGGTGCCCAAGCGGCTGGCCTTGTGAGACTGAGCTTTGTCC